GCACAATGGATTCCACAACTGGCATAGGCTTCTCAGGGTTAGCCCCAAACCCTTCAAAATCTTTCTTAATTTCCATACTAATTCTCACCCTTTTTACCACAGGGTTGGCACTAGAAGCTTTCTTGGGGCCCATGGTCACTTATTTTCCAGAAACAGCACCGAAAACACTGTAATAATACGAAATATTCTGAGTGTATGCTTGGATGTTACCGCGGAGGCTGGCTGGTAAACAATGGGACGGCCGGCACATGTGAGGGCACATTGGACGCGTCTCGGACGAAAATCGGTAAGCGGGTTTTTAATCGGTATGCGCGGCAAAAATTTTGCGATAAAAGTAATCGTTATGCGGAAAAATCGCTATGTGATGCCATCGTTATGCGGGGGTCCACTGTATTATTCTTTGCTCTGAGTAATATCTTTGCTTGGTCTGCTGTAAAATAATTACAGTTGCTGTTCGGTTCGTGTAAATCATTTAATAAAAGACGGAGATCAGGATTAATGCTTGTAATCATAAGATTGTGAGTGACTCTACAACTAGACTTTTGAATAAACTTATGTTAAACTTAATAATTATGATATTAAACTAATTTTATCTTACTAGCTAATGGATTATTACAAGTAGGTTTTAAAAAAATACAGAGATACTGTTTACCCGTAATATGGTACTGATTTGATGATTTAATATAGAACGGTTACAGTTTTAGAGTTTGACAAAAGTTGCAGATTTAATATAGAAATTTGGTGAATACAATAAAATTGCTTTGTACTGGAAGTGATAATTAAATTAAAAGTCTGCAGGTAATGGTAGTTTAAGAAATAGGAGAAAACAATAGTTTATAATATATTAAAATAAGTAATTATAAAATACAGCAATTATGCTAACTCTTATTATGACACAAGGTTGACAATATAATATTTGCACTGGTCATCAGTTCTATAATAATAGATTATAACAGTGGGCAAGTAATGGCAAGTTAAAAATTGTACTAAAGTAAAATGGATTGATAGTAAATACGGTGGCGAACAAAACCAATAGGCCAGCCCTTCACAAAAAAAAAAAAAAAAAAAAAATAGGCCCGCCTCTCCCAAACAAAACCAACAGTCCAGCCTCTCACAAACAAAACCAGTAGGCTAGCCCCTCACAAATAAAACCAATAGGCCAGCCTCTCACAAACAAAACCAATAGGCCAGCCTCTCACAAACAAAACCAATAAGCCAGCCTCTCACAAACAAAACCAATAGGCCAGCCTCTCATAAACAAAACCAATAGGCCAGTCACTCTCAAACAAAACCAATAGGCCAGCCTGTCACAAACAAAACTAATAGGCCAGCCTGTCACAATCAAAACTAATAGGCCAGTCTGTCACAAACAAAACCAATAGGCCAGCCTGTCACAAACAAAACCAATAAGCCAGCCTGTCACAAACAAAACCAATAGGCCAGCCTGTCACAAACAAAACCAACAGGCTAGCATCTCACAAACAAAACAAACAGGCCAGCCCCCTCACATACAAAACCAACAGGCCAGCCCCTCACAAACAAAACCAATATGAGAGCCCTTCACAAACAAAACTAATAGGCCTGCCTCTCCCAAACAAAACCAACAGTCCAGCCTCTCACAAACAAAACCAGTAAGCCAGCCCCTCACAAACAAAACCAGTAAGCCAGCCCTTCATAAACAAAACCAATAGGCCAGCCTCTCACAAACAAAACCAATAGGCCAGCCTCTCACAAACAAAACCAATAGGCAGCCTCAAAACCCAGCCCTCACAAACAAAACCAATAGGCCAGCCTCTCACAAACAAAACCAACAGGCCAGCCTCTCACAATCGAAACTAATAGGCCAGCCTGTCACAAACCAAACCAACAGGCCAGTCTGTCACAAACAAAACCAATAGGCCAGCCTGTCAAAAACAAAACTAATAGGCCAGCCTCTCACAATTAAACCCAATAGGTCAGCCTCTCACAAACAAAACCAATAGGCTAGCCTCTCACAAACAAAGCCAATAGGCCAGCCTCTCACAAACAAAACCAGTAGGCCAGTCCCTCACAAACAAAACCAGTAGGCCATCCCCTCACAAACAAAACCAGTAGGCCAGCCCCTCACAAACAAAACCAGTAGGCCAGTCCATCACAAACAAAACCAGTAGGCCAGTCCATCACAAACAAAACCAGTAGGACAGCCCCTCACAAACAAAACCAGTAGGCCAGCCCCTCACAAACAAAGCCAATAGGCCAGCCCCTCACAAACAAAACCAGTAGGCCAGCCCCTCACAAACAAAACCAGTAGGCCAGCCCCTCACAAACAAAACCAGTAGGCCAGCCCCTCACAAACAAAACCAGTAGGCCAGCCCCTCACAAACAAAACCAGTAGGCCAGCCCCTCACAAACAAAACTATTAGGCCAGCCCCTCACAAATAAAACTATTAGGCCAGCCCCTCAAACAAAACCAGTAGGCCAGCCTCTCACAAACAAAACCAGTAGGCCAGCCCCTCACAAACAAAACCAATAAGCCAGCCCCTCACAAACAAAACCAGTAGGCCAGCCTCTCACAGACAAAACAAGTAGGCCAGCCCTCACAAACAAAACCAGTAGGCCAGCCCCTCACAAACAAAACCAGTAAGCCAGCCCCTCACAAACAAAACCAGTAGGCCAGCCCTCACAAACAAAACCAGTAGTCCAGCCCTCACAAACAAAACCAACAGGCCAGCCCTCACAAACAAAACCAATAGGCCAGCCCTCACAAACAAAACCAGTAAGCCAGCCCCTCACAAACAAAACCAGTAGGCCAGCCCCTCACAAACAAAACCAGTAGGCCAGCCCCTCACAAACAAAACCAGTAAGCCAGCCCCTCACAAACAAAACCAGAAGGTCAGCCCTCACAAACAAAACCAGTAGGCCAGCCCTCAAGCAAAACCAATAGGCCAGCCCTCACAAACAAAACCAATAGGCCAGCCTTCACAAACAAAACCAATAGGCCAGCCCTCACAAACAAAACCAACAGGCCAGCCCTCACAAACAAAACCAGTTGGCCAGCCCTCACAAACAAAACCAGTAGGCCAGCCCTAGCAAACAAAACCAATAGGCCAGCCCTCACAAACAAAACCAATAGGCCAGCCCTCACAAAACCAATAGGCCAGCCCTCACAAACAAAACCAATAGGCAGCCCCACAACAAAACCAATAGCCAGCCCTCACAAACAAAACCATAGAGCCAGCCCTCACAAACAAAACCAATAGGCCAGCCTCCACAAACAAAACTAGTAGGCCAGCTCTCTCAAAAAACCAATAAGCCAGCCTCCAAACGAAACCAATAGGCCAGCCCTCACAAACAAAACTAGTAGGTCCAGCCCTCACAAACAAAACCAATAGGCCAGCCCTCACAAACAAAACTAGTAGGCCAGCCCTCACAAACAAAACCAATAGGCCAGCCCTCACAAACAAAACCAATAGGCCAGCCCTCACAAACAAAACTAGTAGGCCAGCCCTCACAAACAAAACCAATAGGCCAGCCCTCACAAACAAAACTAGTAGGCCAGCCCTCACAAACAAAACCAATAGGCCAGCCCTCACAAACAAAACTAGTAGGCCAGCACCTCACAAACAAAACCAGTAAGCCAGCCCCTCACAAACAAAACCAGAAGGCCAGCCCTCACAAACAAAACCAGTAGGCCAGCCCTCAAGCAAAACCAATAGGCCAGCCCTCACAAACAAAACCAATAGGCCAGCCCTCACAAACAAAACCAATAGGCCAGCCCTCACAAACAAAACCAATAGGCCAGCCCTCACAAACAAAACCAATAGGCCAGCCCTCACAAACAAAACCAATAGGCCAGCCCTCACAAACAAAACCAATAGGCCAGCCCTCACAAACAAAACCAGTAGGCCAGCCCTCAAGCAAAACCAATAGGCCAGCCCTCACAAACAAAACCAGTAGGCCAGCCCTCGCAAACAAAACCAATAGGCCAGCCCTCACAAACAAAACTAGGCCAGCCCTCACAAACAAAACTAGTAGGCCAGCCCTCACAAACAAAACCAATAGGCCAGCCCCTCACAAACAAAACCAATAGGCCAGCCCCTCACAAACAAAACCAATAGGCCAGCCCTCACAAACAAAACCAATAGGCCAGCCCTCACAAACAAAACCAATAGGCCAGCCCCTCACAAACAAAACCAATAGGCCAGCCCTCACAAACAAAACCAATAGGCCAGCCCCTCACAAACAAAACCAATAGGCCAGCCCCTCACAAACAAAACCAATAGGCCAGCCCCTCACAAACAAAACAATAGGCCAGCCCCTCACAAACAAAACCAATAGGCCAGCCCCTCACAAACAAAACCAATAGGCCAGCCCCTCACAAACAAAACCAATAGGCCAGCCCCTCACAAACAAAACCAATAGGCCAGCCCTCACAAACAAAACCAAGAGGCCAGCCCCTCACAACAAAACCAATAGGCCCCCCTCACAAACAAAACCAATAGGCCAGCCCCTCACAAACAAAACCAATAGGCCAGCCCTCACAAACAAAACCAATAGGCCAGCCCCTCACAAACAAAACCAATAGGCCAGCCCTCACAAACAAAACCAATAGGCCAGCCCCTCACAAACAAAACCAATAGGCCAGCCCTCACAAACATACATAACCACTGAATATTATTACACAATTATGTGATAACATTAATTCCCGACAACAAAACATCACAAGTGTAGTTCTGCTGCCGTAGTTACAACCTAGTGTTTTATGTTCTTGTCACATTCATTAGGATGAGGTAATATGGGCGAGAAGGGAAGGATTTGAGAACCTGACTTGTATGATTCAGTAGACCTGAACTGCTTCTCCGTTCTTATGTTCTTATGATTTTATACAATTTCTCAAGTGTAATATGCCTAATTACCACTAATCTCTCGTCTATAGGTACAACTTCATTTAAAAACGTACGAATCACCTCTCAATAGGCTGTAAAGGTGCAGCATTGTGGACCAGCTGTTTAACACCTTACCTTCTGCTGCTGTTGATGCTTGACAGACCTGAAGGATCCACAGAATATGGGGATGAGAGCCATAACTACCAGGCTGCCGTAGGCCAAAGCCATGCCCTCGGGCGTCGAGGGCACCTTTCCAGTGCCATTGGTGGCCGCTTCGGTCACATTTTCTAAAATTTGTGTCACTGGAACCTGATCAACTCCCACGTCCGCCATCGCTGCTCCACTATCACTCTCGGTGCCAGCCTCACGGGGAAATCCTTCACAATAATCCACTTACTATGATTCTCCTTTTCAGCGATAAAACGTACAACTATTTTCAATAATATATTTTAGATATTATCGTATATGTAATAACTGTAAATAATTGAGTTAAAGCTCAAGAAATGTGAATGAATCACAGGAGAGGTTTGAGAAGGTGCACGGCCACCCCTGCAGACGACGACGTGTCAGACGCCAGATCACCCAAACGTTTCCCGGGAATTTAGAGACAACACATGTTAATGGACAAGGTGTAACTGCTTAGTTAAATATATATATAATCGCATTATTCACGTGTATTACACGATAGGTATGTATGTATGTATGTATGTATATATGTATGTATGTATGTATATATGTATGTATGTATGTATATATGTATGTATGTATGTATGTATGTATGTATGTATGTATGTATGTATGTATGTATGTATGTATGTATGTATGTATGTATGTATGTATGTATATATGTATGTACTCACCTAATTGTGCTTGCAGGGGTCGATACTCAGCCCCTGGCTCCGCCTCTTCACCGAGTGCTACTAGGTCCACTCTCTCCCTGCTCCATGAGCTTTATCTTACCTCATCTTAGAGCTATGTATGGTTCCTGCCTCCACAACCTCACTTGCTAGGCTCTTCCACTTCCTGACTACTCTATGACTGAGGAAATACTTCCTAACATCCCTTTGACTCATCTGGGTCTTCAACTTCCAATTGCGGCCCCTTGTTTCTGTGTCCCCTCTCTGGAACATCCTGTCTCTGTCCACCTTGTCTATTCCACGCAGTATTTTGTATGTTGTTATCATGTCTCCCCTAACCCTCCTGTCCTCCAGTGTCGTCAGGCCGATTTCCCTTAGCCTTTCTTCGTAGGACATTCCCCTTAGCTCTGGAACTAACCTTGTCGCAAACCTTTGCACTTTTTCTAATTTCTTGACGTGCTTGATCAAATGTGTATGTATGTAATCTATGTAGTATATATATATATATATATAATATATATATATATATATATTATATATATAATATATATATATATATATATATATAAAATATATATATGTACTCACCTAGTTGTACTCACCTAGTTGTGGTTTCAGGGGCAGAGTCATAGCTCCTGGCTCCGTCTCTTCACTGGCCGCTACTGGGTCACTCTCCCTGCACCATGAGTTTTATCATACCTCTGCTTGAAACTATGAATAGATCCTGCCTCCATTACATCGCTTCCCAAACTGTTCCACTTCCTGACTACTCTGTGACTGAAGAAATACTTCCTGACATCCCTGTGATTCATCTGTGTCTTCAACTTTTCCAACTGTGTCCCATTTCTTGAACATTCTGTCTCTGTCCACCTTGTCAATTCCTCTCAGCATTTTATATGTCGTTATCATGTCCTCCCCTATCTCTCCTGTCCTCCAGTGCCGTCAGGTCGATTTCCCTTAACCTTTCCTCGTAGGACATACCCCTTAGCTCTGGGAATAGTCTTGTTGCAAACCTTTGCCCTTTTTCTAGTTTCTTTACGTGAATGGCTAGATGTATGTATGTATGTATGTATGTATGTATGTATGTATGTATGTATGTATGTATGTATGCATGATGTATGTATATACGTATGTATGTATGTACTCACCTAGTTACTTACCTAATTGTGGTTGCAGGAGTCGAGACTCAGCTCCTGGCCCGCCTCTTCACTGAACGCTGCTAGGTCCTCTCTCTCCCTGCTCCATGATCTTTATTATACCTCGTCTTAAAACTATGTATGGTTCCTGCCTCCACTACACCACTTGCTAGACTATTCCACTTCCTGACAACTCTATGACTGAAGAAATATTTCCTAACATTCTTTTGACTCATCTGAGTCTTTAACTTCCAATTGTGATCCCTGTT